GAGCAGCTCCTCGAGGGGTCGGGGAAAACACCCCAAAACTCCCAGTATTCTGGCGTCTCCGTCTGCAGCAGACCGCCTGGAAGGAACTGCAGTCATCAGTGGGGCTCGCAATGCCACACATCACCTTAGAAATAACTGCCAAACTTAAAAAAAAAAAAAAAAAAATAGTGGATCTTTGTAATGTACCTTTGTAATGTACCGGCGTGGGGAATAACCATTTCAGCCTAGTGCTGGAGGAGAAATTAGCTTAATGTTTCACATCCTTACTTACATGAAAAATAGGCTAGCCCTAGGTTGCTGGCAGCAAAGGTCAAGAACAGTTTTTAATCAAGGTTTTGTAAAAAACAGTATTGCCATTAGACCACCGACTTCCCGCTACCAAAACACACACTCTGCAACCTGTGCTTTCAGCACCTTCATGCTGGGGACGAGACGGTGGTATCTGGGTTCCCTTACACAAATTTGTATTCTTTAAGGCATTCAACGTTTTTCCCAAGCCAAAACAAGTCACCAGATTCCGGATGGCTGATGTTTGGGCTAGGGATGAGTTTTGTCAGGCCATCAGAAAGAGCTTTTCCGGGTAACGAATGCCCCACAAGATCTTTCGGCACAGTTACCTTTCTGAAATGCAGCTTGTTTTACCTAGGGGGTCTACATAAAAAAAACTCTCCCTGGTTAAAGTGATATCTCCACATCAAAGTTCCCAGCCTTTAAAACGTCACCAAATAGTTCAAAAGAATAATTTTAAAGCATGACAGTTCACAAAAACCATTTTTAGGCTAAATACATATTTTGTTCCCATTGATACATTTTTTGGTACACGGCAATTTAAATAGGTTTGGGGAACCTGATGGGAATTTAGTATTCAGTTAAAGGTTTTTTTTAGTAGACCTTCATTTACCGGGAAGCAGGTTCTGTTGATTAGCGGCATGGTTACCTCTGAGCCTCCGTGATACCAAATACCTGCTTACCTTGATCAACGCAAGCACCTCTGCGAAAGAGGACAGACTATTAACATCAGGCTCCTCCTGTTATGCCAAGCAGAATTAGTGTTAGCAAATTATAAATGAAAGGCTCTGTAAAATAAACAGAGAATCTACTGGGACCACTGAAATTTGCTATGATACTCCGTTTTAGTGAATGTTAATAAAGTTGAATGTGTAACTTAAGTCTACAGCCCTAAAATCCACTATGTTGTCCAGGCAGAGAATCCCCTTTGCTTAAGCACAAGTGTTAATAATTCATTTTTAATTAAACTGTCAGATTCCGGTATCATAGTTTTCCCGTTGTTCATGTCATTTTAGGTATTCCACACAAATGTGTTTTCATTTCTATCAGAAAGATTCTATATTAGATGTCACACATTCTTCTAAAGCTCAGGCAGTGCCAACATTAAGAAATGCCCGACTGTTGAAGACACTTCACGTGGTGTAGAGCTTTAGCAAAGTGTGTAACACATTGGAAATATTCATTACAACGATTCACAATTACAGTAGGCATAACTAACTTTTCAGCTGCATATTTTAGTAATATTAATTGTTCCGTACCAGGACTGTATTTCTTACAGGGCTTTCTGAGTACAGCCTGATTTTCAGGAAGTTACACACGCCTATAAAATTCACAATTGGTTCATCCCTGTGTTTGAGAGCAATTGCCCCAACTGTTTGAATAACCAGCGTATCAGCTGGGAATCAGACGGGAAAAAGCAAGCAGCTGGACCACTCACAGGACTACAGTCCTCACCCAAACTGTACAAATGGTCAGCTCAACTGAATCGAGGTTTTACTGCACAGTCTAGAAACTACACGTAGTCTTTATCTGCAACAAATGCCTCTGCCATAATTCCTGGGGGGTGTTACCAACTAGAGTGAAACAGGGAAAGCCAAACAGTATATTCATAATATATTAACACTCAGCACTGCAGCTTAACAGTAATACCAGATTCAAATCCTGGTGTACGAAGAACCATGCAGATATGGCACGTGTTGGCCCCTTGCTGCCAAAAAGTCCAAAAACTAGGCAAAAGAGATGCAGGCCGTACATGAGATGTAAAATGGTATATAAAATAGCATATGTAAGCCAGTATTATAGCTCTTTATCAACGTAATTATTAAATTAACTGCAAGAAAACACAGGTGAAGGTTAAATTGGATAAAGACTAGATGGTGATGTCCTGAATTCTTATCTCCTCGTCAGCGTGGAGCCCACAAACACGTATGCAGTAGGGGCTGCTTACGTTCCAGTATGGTGCTGGTGAGGCAAAGCTGTGCAGCGCCAGGGCACTCACTGCAGATTAAGGGTGTCCTAAGTTAATTTATGGCAAGCTAGCCAGCTCACTGGAATATGTCTCACGTTAATTATTTCCCCTGACAGATAACTAACGTTTCAAACTATTCCTAGTAGAATTGAGCACCAGTACAGTGATCTTTGCAGGCAGAGCTTAACACCACAGCAAGAACTAGCACTGCTGTATGCACATCATACTGCTGCTCGTCAGCAGAATAGCTTTCCTTCTACTGAAGGAAAAAAAAAAAAAAAAGGAAAAGAAAACAAGATGTCAGCATTTCATTTCCCAGCAAGAGAAAGTACACTACCGATAGCGTTACCAGGTGTTTCTGGTAGAGCTGGAGGGATTTTCCTGGGTAGTTATCACTCCCGTGCTCTGCACTCCTCCTGTCCCTGTATTCGACAGATTGCTGTTGCACTTGAATATGGAAAATCCTCACTGCTCTGGCCAGGTCTGTATTATAGCTGCCATTTGCCCTTTCTGTTTATATTTCTCTCTTCTTCACTTTCCCACGTGAAGTGCCTAAGAGCTTTTCGCTTTCTGTTGTCTTTTCTGACGCAACAGAAAATTCCATCAAATTTCCTTTTTCCTTCTGTCAAACTTGTTCTTTCAGAAAGAACAATGGGGAAAATGCTCCTATAAACAAATGACGTTAAATAAAAGTGTCTTCAAAGTCCTTATAGATAAAGTTTATTTCACCCAACGTGTCCCCTACTCGCCACTCAGCTCACTTCAGGAAACAAAAATAACGCATTTACCATTTCACCCTTACCCTCTGTCAGATAAATCGTAAGTATTATTACACTAGTGTTTCGCAGCTTCCAGATCAAATTAGCAACATAATCCCTCTCAAAAAAAAGCAACAAAACCTCAGGAATCAATGGGTGATCTCATACCACACTACTAGTGGGCAATTAGCAAAGAGAAACAGAAGGATGAATATGGTCATACTTTCACTAGGTAAACAAAGTTTACCTGTAAATAGACTTATTGCTAAATGTAGTCCAAAGTATCAACAGTAATTGTGCATGCCATTTGGTCTTTCATTCATTAAGCACATTGATCTTTGGAAACATGATTCTGACTAATGAGCTGTGTTAAGTGGCTCTTAGATTCTTATTTTGTTGCTATTCTAGTGAAAGATCTGGACTCACAGAAGCTGATGAAAGAAAGACAAGCTTCAGTGCTTCTGCACTCAAATATCAGCTTCTCAACCTAATCTCTAGGACAATTGTCAATTTATTTATTTACTTAAAGCTTACAAGCATCACCAAATCCTATTTAAGAGCTTGCCTGAAGTAGATTTTGTCATCACCAATGGAAGAAGGATCAAGGATGCAGAGTTCCCAGTTAGGAACTTCACTATAAAGTACTCTTCAAAAAGTATTCTGAGGAGCACCAATCAAAAGTCTGCACCGCTTCCAACCGCTCAAGTACTGAATTCAAATAATGCGTCATTTACTTGTTTTAAGAAAGCAGACAGCATGTCAAAAGACACAGAAACAATTGCTTCAGTTTTTCTCAGAACTTTCACTGAAAATGTTTGTGATTAAGTTTTACCAATTTAACTGGGTCCATCCAGGTATTGAAAAATAAGTAAAATAATGCTAATCAATCTTTCAAAATAGACCACAAAATACAGCTTTCATCCAAAATCAGATACATGTACTAATTTAAAGATTGAGCGTCAACAATGGTTCATACAACAAACGACAGAATTCGTAGTAGAATAGGCACCCTTTCTTCAAAACGTTTCAAGACACTTAGTAAATTTGGCTCAATATTTTTTTTAAATAGTCTTTTGTTGCTAGGCAGAACAGAAAAGTTATTTAAAAATAAGGTGAATCCAGCAGACACCCAGAGAAGCAGCTCCATCACTGCACGAGCCAACGTATATTTTAGTATCAAGTCTTCAGAGACTTGTGAGGACTTTCTGCAGTTTGATAGCAAATAAACAGCTCTTGTAGGCTAACGAGGCAACTTGGTTAACACAATACTAGTTGACTTGCCTAACAGAAAGGCAAGTTACACTTTCTTTCACTTCAATGTGAGTTTTCCTTCAACAGCAGTTGTCATTAACTTGACTTCACCTTTGTACCAGAATATGTGGAAGAACTATTTAGCTTCTATTTTTGGCAGCACTCCTCTTCAAAAATCACTCAGCACACAGTGATTGTACTCAACAAAAATCAAGGCAATGCTTTGTAAATCCCTGGAAATGTTCCATTCTGAATTTCTAAAGCCGCTTGCTTTGGGTATGACGAACAAATTGTCTTACAACAGCCTACACTGTACGTATGGTTGGCAGGAGGATTTTTAATCTTCTCAGTGGCAAATGGTAGTTTCATCATTTTAGCTCCAATAAAAATACTAGAACTCCAATTATTACTTGATCAGCAATTTGCAATTTCAAGCTACATCTGTTTAAAATTTCTTTTTGCTACTTCATTTAAGCAGTGTTATCACAACATTACAGAGAGTGATGGAAAAGTCAGTCAGTGTTTTGCAAGAAGAAAAGAAAAAAAACAGGGGATGAAAGAAAAACTGCTAAACACAAAGAAATAAATGCAACTCAACACAAGGTAGGGAATATAGCAGCCTTGAACACGTAATACTCCACACACACCGATTCCTCATTACTTAACAATCATAACAAAACTACGCCAGAACAAAGACTGGTCGTAATAGTTTTCTTTCAGAGTCAAAAATTAACTTAAGTCGTGAGTGACGATTTATTGTATTTATTTTTTTCCACATTGTTTGCCTTGCTGGGAATGAGTATGTTTTAGGTGCGTTTATTTTTTCACCATTTCACAAACCACAGGCTGAGCATTGGTGATGTGAAAGAAATACTCTGTTAACTTTCAGCCGAGTGTCCCTATGGAGAGGCAGCTGTCCAGCTACAGTACAGCTCACTTCTCTGCGTTTTTGTGAGCATCAATTAGCCTCCGTCGTATCGCCCGGTTCCTGGCCCTGTTTTCTTCATACTGGAAGACAGATAAGGAAATTAATAGATCAGCTGTTATCATTAAACAGATAAGTCAAATTTAAAAGTGTAGCAAGCATTTATTACTCAGGAACAGAAACAATGTGTTTGACAGATGCAGTAGAAATGCAGTTCTTGTTAATATCTATATATTGGTTCATTTTTACTTTGAAATTAACATTTATTTGATTAAAATACATGTATCTAAGTTTGAGGTTATTAAGTTAAAGAGTATTAGAACATTCTAATAAAGAAGATTCAGTTAATCTTATGGAGAAACTTAATTATACAGCCATCTTATGTACGACAGCTACACTTCACACATGAAGTAGGAAAAAAGTTGCATCGGTGCTATTCTAGAGCACAGGTCAGGCTCTTTTCCTTTTAAAAGATACTGATTAATGCAAGTGTGTCTGCCTTCTGAAACATGAATTTGTCATCACAGACTTGGTCTATTTTTGATCCTCGTCATTAATTATATGCACAGATAAAGTAGTATAACAAGATGAAAGGAACAAAGGCAAATTTGGGTTGAACGAGGGTAAGGTGTTTTGGGGATGGGACTCCAGCATAAAAGGGAATCAAGAAAGCCTTCACAGTTTAGATACATGCATAAGAAGATCACACTTTCAAATATGCCCCTGCACTAGCAAAAGCCTGCTAACTTTCTTTCATTGCAGCCAAAAAGGAAACCTTTTCACGGCTAAAAGAAATGAAAAATTAAAAATCAATGCATGATTTGGTATATATTTAATGAGAAGCAAATCATTCTTGGCCTTAAGTTAAAGCATATATTTGTTCAATTTTTTAATAATTGGTATCAAGAATAAAACCCAAGTAATCCCACATACTCAATTCTCTATGGAATGTAATAAACTACTAAGGAGATTGATTTTGGAAAGGATTTGCAGTTTTTCACTCATTATACTGATTGGTTTATAACTGAAATAATGGCCTGAAACATTACTTAACATTTACAGAATGCTTAACTTTTTCCCGTGCCAATATTTAATTTTTCAATAACCCATCCATGTTTTTACATAGAATGAGAACAATGGATCTTTAAAAGCTACAACTGTATCTATTCCATACTTGTGAACAGCCTTTCAGGGGCTTCCTAGTAATGGCATATCAATGTAACCATATTTTAAGAAGGCAGACAAATATAGCCATCAAGAACTCCTTTTAATGTAAAGGCTTCAATGGAACAAAGAAGATTACATGGAAAGAAACTTTACTTCATTATTTTCCAGATCTGTGCTATAGTTTTTACAGGGGGCGAGGAATGGTATTTGACACAAGCAGATGAAATTAATTCCCATAGACTGACAGAGGGAAAAGAGGGGGCCCAAACTGTCCTGGCTGTTATGCACTTGAAGTCTTCTTTTTTAGACACGATTGTGAAAATTATGCCAGAATTAGTCAGTACAATTTCAAGTGTGTGAAAAGTTCATTTACATGTTCTGTCATGTAGGCATGACAACCACAAATATAAAGACCAGTTGATACTCTTCGGAAAATGCGCCCATGAGCTAGTTAATCTACTTAAACTCCTGGAGTCTTCCATTCCTTCGTATCAGCAGATGTAGTATGGCAACGAGTAGGTCCTAAGCAGCAATATTTTCATTTAGGGCCTAACTCAGCAGCTCATCAAGTAGTTTCAGTCAGCATAACTGACTTCAGTAATAAGCGTTACTCATGCAGAAGTGACCATTGCTGCTTTATATTCTATTCTGTGTAAATACCACTATTAAAAAAAATTAAGAAAAAATCAGAAGCAACCTGTGAAGTGTCAGTTCCTATTTGCCATATTTGTTTGGTTAAGATGTGTGTTGGCCTATTTTTATACATCCAAAAATAGACCATGCCATTTGTTAAAGCCAGATTTTATCTGACAAATTTATCAAAAAAAGTTTAAATTTGGTCTCAAATGCCCACTCCAGAATGTGCTTACATTTCAAGGGCTATTTATTGATTTGTACTACTTAGTAAAAAGCAACTGTATTTCTATCCCCTGGACTTTTTTTTTATTATTATTAAGCATTTAACTTGTAGTAAATTTGTTTCTTACCTCTTTCTTTAAGCACTTCCGCATCTCACGATCAATATCATTGCAATGGCCAAAAAATTTCAAAATGTTATGCTGATAAATCAGGGAGAAGAAAAAAAAATTACAATTCAAAGGTTTCTTCCTGTGAAGCTCTAAATTTCTTAGAAGTCACTTGCATTTTGCAACATATCCTGGTTGTCTTCTCCTTTTCTCTTTCTGTGAAAAATGATGCTTTGTAACTTTTTTACTGAGTAGCTACAAGTTAGACCTACTCCTGAACCTCATTTGAACCACCACCATCTTGCTGAAAGTTGAAGGTACTCACCATGTTGTATAACCAGACTACAATAGGATACCTAAGCTGAAGCTATGAAGTCTAAATGTAGAACATACATTTTATTGATCTAGGAATCAGTCTTACAACTTTCACTTACGCTAGCTTCAATAATGTTAAAAAAATAAACATTCTGAACTCCAGTTTGTGATATAGAAAGGTGTAGGGAGATCTACAGGCATCCTGGAGGCAACATCCTCTGTGCTTTAGTTTTCATTATTTCTTCATGACCTAGAGAGGCAAAGGACTTGATGCTACATCATCCCAGCCACGTGAAGAATATGTTGTTGGTCCAAAAGGTGCAGGCACTAGGCTTAAATGACTGAAGTGTTAGAACTGGTATAAAAAATGGGAGATTAAGTTTCTCCAGATCTCAAGGTTAATAAATAAGATGCATTTACCATCTTTATGACACAGCTAAACTGTGGGCCTTATGCATACTTAAGTGTTACTTAGTTTCTGAAAAACTGCAGGCATTGTCCTCACAAAGGCACTCCCCAGCTAACCTGATAATATTCACCATAAAAATCTGTCCTCTTAGCCAGGATTTCCTGAAGTGTTTTCATATTATTGGCCATCAAATCACTCTCAGAATGCATCCTTCTAAAAGGACTACTTTTTCAGAGTGATGTTTGCTAACATGCCACAGAATCTCGCAGCAGAGCATCCAAGGAATTCAGAAGACCTGAAGGAGTGGAGATTTTAGTAGATATTTACAGCTATACCATCAACAGAGACAATTGGGCCAATCTTTTAGAAAACTAATGAATTAAAAAAAAAAAAAAAAGACCTTGAAGAACAAAACAGATGAGAATGAAGCCACTTCCATAATTCAGAGGGAAACGCATGCACATTTCTGTAGCTGATGAGCAACTAGATGGATTTATACAAGTAATACAGGAACGCTATTAAGAATTCAAACAGTATACAAGATTTCAGCCAATAGAACATGACTGAAAGTAGGACAGGGTTAATAAAGATTATGACAAACACTTAACTATAGCAGTGCTATAATTAGCTTGTTTATACCTCTCTGCTTTATAAAGGGCATCAGATGACACTCTGAAGCACTTGCATGTGATAAATGGTCACTTTACTGCAAGCTGATCTTGCTTTTACAACAGTTTCATTTTAGCTAATACAGATTTAATTTTGTATTCTATTCCCATACCTGCGTGTTAAATTTCAAGGTGAGCGCTCACATTTCAAGCTAACTCCACTCTTACTAGTGCATACAGTGAGTTGAATCTACGTTTATTTAGCCAGATTCCTAAGCTGTCAATTTTTTGGCTCAGATTATGAGGAAAAAAGTTTCTCAAAAATAGTTATTACTTCTATTACAGCGACATGATTGCAAGACAATATGCATTTCTTTCAGCTGCCACCTATAAAAATAAGTCTCTTTAAAGCACACACTTGGCACCAGAGTGGAGTTGTTAAAAAAAAAAAAAAAAAATCAAAATAATGACATCGAACAGGAATTCCATTAACCTCCCCTCACTAGATGCAAAACTTGATATAATGTGTAGGTTCTAGATTAGGAATAAAGTAAATCAAACTGACTTTTGTGAAAATGCACACACAGGACACCCAATTAAAAAATAACGCTTTTCATTCCTCAGGAATATTTATTTAAATTGTAGATGAAGGTTCTTAGCATATTTTGGCATTATAACAAAACAGCAGGTAGTCACTGATAACTGATTAAGATCACTGACTTTTCAGATTTCAGTAACTTCAATTTTAAAAGAGTATTTCAGTACATTACCCTTGAATTTTCAGCAAAAAGGTATTGCTTCCTTTCAACTAGGTGTGAAAGAAGCCATCTTCATCCTTTCTGTTCCGAGACTGCTAGCACAAATACCCTCTCATAGTTGAGCACAAAACCGACAAAAGTAATTCCTCTTCATGTAAAGATCAACTTGAAACAAAACCAAGAGAATATAATCCTGTGCATGACTTTATTATTCTTGCTCCTAGTCCCTTCATAAGTCAAATTGGCAGCAGATTGCTTTGAGTAACTTGCTGCCAAGCAATTCAAGTACACCTTTTAGTTCCAATTCCCTCTTAAATTCAAGGCAGTCTAATAAGCTACATTATACAAAAAGCCTATGATACTTGTATATTAACATTCATTTTTATTAAAAAAAAAAAACCAAAACAAAACCAACAAAGCCAAAAAAACAGTCAACCATTACTTTGAAGTAGTAAATTAATATTTCTGGATTCTCTACTCAAAGCATAGAAAGGCCAACCATGTATGTACCAAAAAGCAGGACAAATCTGAGTGTATTTTCTTTCCTGATAGGATTTGCTTTCACAATTATGAAAAATTAATGACAACATTTTAATTTTATATTGCCTATAGAAGTTTTATTCTCCTCTTAACTGATAGTCATTTTATTTGGCAATCCTTTTGATACTATAGTACTTAACATACAAGGAAAGTCTTCTCACTTAATTCCAGCTACTGAACACTTTTAGCTACATTACAACACTAAAGTTGTTTCAAAAAAAAAAAAAAACAAACCAAAAAAACTAAAAAAGAAAAAAGTCTCTACAATCTCTCAAATTACCTAAAGCATTTTTAGGCAAATTAAAATTTTAGAACTCAGAAGAAAAGCATAACTCTTACACTTAATACAACTTTACAACTTTTAGTTTTAAAGCTTGGGGATGTTCTGTACAAGAACTTTGTATCCTAGGTTTAAAAAATTTAGACAGTGCATAGGAACAGACAGGCAATGGTACAGGAAGTACCACCTACAAGACGGCATCAACAGATTCCAGTGTGCTTACATTTCAAGATATTGCACTACAAGCGTCAACAAAACACAACTAAATGTTGCTGAACAAACTCAGTACAGTATACTCACTGCAAGTGAACTTTAGTGTTAAAACTCTGCTCCCTTCATTGTTGTAATTTAGAAATCATAAGAAAGTGTGGTACTGCGAAAGTTTTTTTTAATGTTAGTTTAGCTACTTTAAAAATCTGCAAAAATGTTGTTATCCCGCTTTCACGCAAAACGTCTTCTCTCACATTTCGTGTATTATCAACCTTGTTTTTCTTTCTGTAATGACTTTTGCAAAGAAAAAAATGAGAATTCTGCTCAAAACAGTAAAGCTAACATATGTATTGTCTTAGAATTTATGGATAACTGCATTACAAAAAAGTATAAACATCACATCTGAACACAAAGGTGAAAATATTGTAGATTGCACATAATGGTGTAAACAATTGATTTCACATTCATATTCAACATTTAAATATATTTTTGTCTGAGTGGAAACTATGAAATTGAACTTTTTATGCACTAATACAGAAATTAATCTGTACTAACATCTATTTAGAGTACACAAGAGAACTGGGAAAATCATTAACAATATTGCAACAATGCTGCAGATAGCTTTCATTGCAGGGGCTGACTCCGCTACATCTAGAGGTTTACTACAGAGGAAATTAAAAAAAGGGCTTTTAAATGAGGGAGATGATTCTATCTTTTTGAAGCAATGAAGAGCCTTGAGAAGCCTGAAGACAATTTGGCATTTTACATCCTTGGGTAGGTGCCTATTAAGAAGATGGAAGTCAAACAGTAATTCGCATTTAGCTCTCAAAGCATTGAATGTAAGGCATGCTGCATGTCCGGATCCCTGTCAACACATCTGCTTATAAATAGACTGAAGCATCTGCCCAGTGGACAGCTGGAATATGGAAATGCTGTGAGCATACAAAAAGAGGGCATGTGAAGTTGCTTCTATTATTGTTTTTTTGAGGGGCACAGAGTACTAAAAGGTGCAGAAGTTATTGCAGTTCCTAAAATTGGTCCATACTTGTCAAGCTGTAGCACAGGAAATTTTAAGGCATGTTTTATTTCCTAAAGAAATCACTGGCAAAATTTTACACACAATTGGCAGACACCTCTTCAGTGAAAACGTACTAGCTACATTTCATGGCTGTTCTGCCTAGAGGAGGTTTTTCTCTCTATGATCATATAATATTCTCACTAATTTATCTGCCACTCATTTCCCCAACCCACCCACTCTTTTCTCTGCTCTAAACTCCTTACCTCCTTGTGACACTTCTTGAGCAGACTGATAACTAGGTTACATTCCTCAGTGTGCAGATGAGGAGACAGGTCTGGATGCATCTTTAGTTAGGGATAATTTTAGTAGTACAAGGACAAGAATCTGAGAAAACTTCCACCTGCCAACATTAAAATATGAAAGTATAACTAGAAAGCTTGAGTTAACCACTTAAGATGTTATCACACAGTATTATTTTAACAAAAATATTTTAGACCAAAATGCAGCTTAATATGTATAATTTATATTACACAGTTAAAGTAATTAAAACCAATATGTCTGTTCTTCTACACAGCCTAAATGTTAAAAGTTAACTAGAAGTTTATATTCTTTGCTATCATGGACATAAGCATGCATGTGGGATTTTAATTTTCAGGGACTCCCTAGTAGCATTAATCTTTCTTGAACTGCAGATTATCTTTTCACTTTCCTAGTTCAGTTTTCTTCTTTCTAGCTTTAAAAAAGCTAAGTATATGTCATTTTCTTTCTCCCTTCTACAAAGATGGATCAGAACAGGAAGCACAATGATATTTCATTATAGCACTCAGAACTGGCATCTTTTTTAGTTATCTACGTGCTTTTTAAAAAATCCTGAGCCAAAACATTGATGATGCTTTAAAAACCAGTACTTAATCACTTAAATCAAAACAGTAATGATTTTTGTTAATTATGCCCAATTGGAATATCCGTTCTTGCAACTTCACATTGTTGCCTCTTGCCCTTTCACTGTGAAACACATCTGGATCTGTCTTCTGCATGAATCCCCCATTCCTTCAAATAGCAGAAGACAGCATTTAGGTTTCCCTCAAGTCTTCTCTTTTGAACACTAAAGCAGCCTAGCTCCCTTCACCTTGCTGCATATGCCAGCTGTTCCACCCTCCTGACCCTCTTAGTTTCCCCTTTGCTGGGCTTGGTTTTTTATCATCTCTGTTAGACTGTGGGACCCAAAGATGAACACAGTATTTCAGATGTGGCCTCAAGACTGCCAAGAAGAGGGGAATAATAATAATAATAACTCCCCTTGACCTGCTAGCTACACTCCTAACACAGCCCAGTATGCTGTTAGCCTTTGCTGCCGCAAGGGTGCACTGCTAAATCACGTTTTAACTGCATGTCAACCAGGACCCCCGGGTCCTTTTCTACAGGGTTCTGTGGGGAAGGAGCAAACTTCATTCTAGAAATAAATTTTTATATTACTTCCCATTTAAAAAAAAAAAATTCCCATAAGAATTTTTCAAGATCTTTTGTTGAAAAGAATAAAAGTGTCATGTGATACTGGCTGAAATAAGATGACATCTTTGTTGTGGAAGATCACTTAAGTAGGGAAGGAAGAAGAAAAGTCCAGTTCATACCAGGACAAGTGGGCTCATCTTGACAAAATTCTACTTGTGTGACGCATACTGCCACTGAATTAAAGAGATGCCTTTGTTTGTTTGTTTACTTAGCATTTTGTCATTCCCCCTCCTCCCAAAGAGATCACCTTTCTAGCTGCAATACGTTCAGGCAAATACCACTACAACTTCTACTAAGTAGTCATCACTGTTTTAATGCTCCAGCTAAATAGACAGGCTAAATACCAGTAGCCGGCGGTCAGATTTTACAATTGCAAAATCCCAATATTCAGCTGCAGTGCTGGTAGCTACAATCTACACTGCTACTCCTAAAATACTCAAGTAATATATTTGGCTTGAAGAGGTACGTACACTAACTTACCCAATACTTCCCATCATGTTCAGTTACATTCCCATAAGCAAACTAAATTTTAAAAATCCAAACAGATTTAAAAGCCTCTTGAGAGCCATGAGAGTATGTTCCACATAGTATTGCAAACCCATGTAGTAATTTCTTTCAAAAATCTTCCCCCGTACTATCTGGAAGTCTAATATTACACTATATATACTCTTAGCGCAGAAGAAGTTGGAAACTGTACAAGTTGCTTAAGCATTCTATTCAACAAATTAACAAATGAACCTTGAGAAATATGACAGCAGGAGCACGACTGTAACAGCAAAGTGATTAAGAACCCTGCTGTGTTACTGCCACCAGCTTTTGATTGCATGCCACACAAAGTCAATATGTTTTAAATTTATCAGTAGATATTTTTTGATAGCACTAGAGTTAGCATTCCCTTGAGAGGGTGACCTGCTCAATGACTGCGCATTACTTTAACATGTGTGAACCCAGCTGATTATTAAATCTCTTCATCATTCAGCCTCCG